CCCATACAACCCACAGTCGGGTGGGGTGGGGGAGGATGCGTGACATTCAGCCCTCTGGTTTTCTTTATTCTGGTCTGTCCTGGTCACATCAATATCTACTTTTACTTATACAGAACTTTCACACAAAACATTTTTTTAAAACCTTTTCACCAGAAAGTTTTTGAGTGAATCTATCATCTCCAAATCATTACATCAGACTCAGTTTGTTTTTCAGTTGCTTCTAACCAAACAATAATGATAAAAAGTCACTGTTTTTGATAATCTAAGCATTTTCTCCTTACAATACCAAAGGGAATAAAGTGAAAGAAATATACAGCGGGGAGGATTTGGTTGTCACTTAGTTCACCTCCTTGATTCAAAACTCAGAGTCAGAGTTGTGAATGATCAGCGGAACTACTGAACTTCTCAGGTTTCAAAGCCAGGAGTCACAGTCTTCCTTTCCAGCTGGCACTAGTGGTAAAGAACACGCTTGCCAACGCAGGAGACATAAGAGATGTGGGTTCAATCCCTGTGTCAGGAAGATCTCCTGGAGGAGGGCCTGGCAACCCACTCCAGCATTCTTGCCTGGAGAATCCCATGGACAGAGAAGCCTGGTGGGCTACAGTCCATAGGGTTGCACAGATCGGACACGACTGAGTGACTTAGCAGGCATGGATCCTCCAAGAGAGGACATGGTGCACCCTGAGAGGTCTCCTTCTGGGTCCCTGCCAGCTGGACAGTCTTGGTTCTGCACGAGCTCCCCGCCCTGCCCCATTCCTGCATCCTGGATCTTCACTTCCAGAAATAAAGTGGGAACCAGCAGCTGGTGATAGGGAAGAGCTGAACTCAAGGAGTGAGCCCAAAAAAAAGGATTGAGGACCTTGCTCTGGGCTGGAAACTTTTGATTTTCAGAAACGGAAGACGCAGAAGCTGGAGATGATAAAAGCTGAGGAAAGGAAACCAAAGCAGCAGGCCTTTATTGCAGAAGTTTTACCCAAGTCCTTGGTCTTTTTCCTGAAGTCCATGATCCTTTTCAGGCAAAACCATGTTGTCTGTAGGAGTTTCACATTACAGAAAGATAATAGAATTTCAGGTTTTCTTTTTAACAAAAAACTTTTCCTGTTATTTAACAATATACTTACTGTTACTCAACTGCTGGAGGAAAAAGGATGCTCATTTCATTGCTATTTAACAGATTTTTCTTAAAATAAAGAAAAAAATGCCATCATTATAATAACTACTTACATACATCATTTCATTTAATTTCACTATATTCTGGCACCATCATTGGAAAAGTAGGTACACTCCACAGATGACAAATTGAAACTCAGAGATGTTAAGAATTTGCCAAGACTCACATAGCTAGTATGAAACAAAATCATATCTTATTACCTCCCCTATCCTTTTCCTCCATAAAACGCACTCTCCTTTAAAATGCCATCCAGGCTCTGCCAGAACAGAAGTGTCTAACTCCATTATTATAGTAAATTCTGAATAAGTGGATTTTGATTAATTCTATAGGTGCTTTTTATTCTTTTGATAAGATTATCTCAAAAGAAGAAAAATGGTAATTTAACAATTATTGTCTGAATGAAGGAAGTTCTTTTTTAATACTCTAACATTATGGGAACAGCTACATACATGTACTCCTAAAGGAACTAAATGAACTGAGACCTATAAAATTTTTAAGGATCACACCTGTTTCAATTTCCACTGGCATATTTTCTCCTCCAATGTGCTTTTATTAAAAAATTATTATTTTTAAATTTTATTTTCTATTGAATGATTCTTTAGAGGGGGGAGGAGCTAAGATGGCGGAGGAATAGGACAGGGAAACAACTTTCTCCCCTACAAATTCATCGAAAGAACATTTGAACGCTGAGCAAACTCCACAAAACAATTTCTGAATGATTCTTTAAATTCTATGGTGCCTTGCAATTTTCAAAAGTTTCACACACATGGTTTCATATAATACTGTAATAACCTTTTTTAAAAATCCCCTACCCCAATATAGACCCTCTAATAGGCTATAATCATTATCTATATCAGTTTTAACTTCTGATGGAAGGGTTCTCTCTGGCCTCATAGAGTCTATCCACAGACCCAGATTATATACCAGGTTCCTTCTGGCCCACCTCTTTTAAGTGGTACACAAGACAGGTCAATGATCGTAGGGTTAATAATAACTATTAATCACTGCTCACAGAGTCCTCTTCTACCTAGGCATATGACAACAGCCTCCATATGGAGTGAGCTTTGTGTGTTAGTCACTCAGCCGTGTCCCACTCCCTGCGACCCCATGGACTGTGGCCCACCAGGCTCCTCTGTCCATGGGATTCTCCAGGCAAGAATACTGGAGTGGGGTGCCATTCCTTTCTCCAGAGGAACTTTCCAACCCTGGGTTCGAACCCTGCTCTCTTGCATCGCAGGCAGGTTCTTTACTGTTTGAAATACAGGGAAGTCCTAGAGTGAGCTTTATCCACCAACAATTCCAGGAAGTAGCGTATACGATTACCATCAACGTATAGATGGGGAAACTGAGGCTCAGAGAGGTTGAGGACCTGGGCCAAGATCACACGGTCAAACCGGTCAAACCATCTGGGTTCCTAGCTCTACTGCTTCTGGATGCGCTTTGCATTGGTTGGATGAGGGTGAGCCTGGCAGTCCTTGACATACACTCCTGGGGACCACGGCACACGTTTAAAGAGATGAGCCTGGAGGCAGGATTAAGGGTGCCACGCTCATTCAAGACCTGAAGGTGTGTCAGGACCCCTTCACTGCATCATGCCTCCTCTGGGGCCCCGCACCGTTTATTGTCTCATTTAATCTTGATAAGGACTCTTTAGGATAAAGTAGATTTCTCTTGCACGCAAAAAAGACTACAGTCACAGAGTTTCAACAACTTGCCGGAAGTCATACAGGTAAGGGAAGGTCTAGGAATTAAGGTGGGCTTTGAATCCCACCTCCCCTGGGCTTTAAGCAGGGCTCCGTTCAGCACAGGGGAATTTCCGAAGGAACTGAGCAGTGTTCTTGCTGAAGCGGTCGAGGAAGAGTTCAGCAGAAGTTGTCTGTAGCTCAGAGACTTCATCCTGGAATGGCAGAGGCCAAGGTGGTCAACAGGGCCCCTAGCCCTGCCAGCAGCAGCCTCCTCACATGCCCCTCGGCCTTCCCTGGCCTCGCTCAGCGGCACATTCCCTTCGCCCCACTTGGAAGGCCGGCCCGGCCCCTTTCTTGGGGCCGCAGCGCCCTTTCTTGCTCTTCCCACGGAAAGACCGGTGTGTCTCTCCTGCTGTTAGGGATGCCTCAGCATTTATCTTCGCTTTGTGTCCCCGCAAGTCTTGAAGGGCCGAGACCTTGGCTCTTCCCACTCAGTTCCTAAGGCGGCGCCTGGGGGAGCGGGTGGTGGCACTCAGGATGAATCTGTTGGATTCATGAGTCTTCCTCTTCTACTCAGGCTGAACACTCTCCAGGCTCCTGTCGGGGGGCCTGACTAATCAGAATGATGGATGCTTTGCCGGGGGCGCAGAGGTGAGCCTCAGAGCTGCCATTCCTGTTTGAATTGATACACAGCGCCTCACACTCGTGTTTCGGGGCCCTCAGAGGGAGAGGCTGAGGCGCAGAGAGACCAGGAGCAGGAGTACAGGTCTGCCTTCCGCGCCCGCTCCACCGCCGCCGCCCTTTCACACTCGCGTGTGCACCAGGCCAAGCCTGAAGGCGCGATCCCAACTTCTGCCTCCAGCGGGTGGGAGGGAAGAGAGACGAGAGGTATTCCATTGGTTGTCTGGGAAAATGAATCGCACCTTCCCCTCACTTGCGAAGGATCAACTTTTCCCACCCCCTCGGGTGGGCACTCATAAACTGGGGTCGCAACCAGAACCAGGGAGCCAAGTGGGCCCAGCTGGAGGGAAGCGAAGCCGGGCGGGCAGTGGAAAAGTGCTCCACTGGGTTCCGAGTCCCGGGTAGGGCGAGCACGCGGGTGCCCCGACGAGCGGCCAGGGGCGCAAGGCTGCTGGTCCCCGGGAGGACGCCCCAGATTCGGCAGCCCCCGACACGCCATCCGCGCCGGACTCCCAGGGGTTAAGCGCGGGTCCTGCGGCGCGGTGGCGGGTCGACCCTCTGGCCTTGCCGGGCAGCAGTGGGATGAGGAAGCACGGCGGCGCGGGAAGGGCCGGGGCGCGCAGCGCGCGGGGTGGCGGCGGCGCGCCCATCGGGCCCAGTGCCGGCGAGCGGGATGCAGCGGGCGGCGGCGCCAGCAGGTACGGCCCGTCCCTGCCGCTTGCCTGTTCGCCTGTGTTCCGGCGGGCCAGGGTCCAGCCCCGCGCGGCGCCAAAGTTTGCGGACGCTGCCCGGGAGTTGCGCTCGGGACGGCGCCGCGTGAGCGAGCGACGGGCGGCTGGGACGCCGCGCCCCGACCCGAATCCCTCTCCAAGTCCCGCTCGGAGTCCCGCACGGTGCCGGGTTCCGCGTCCAGTCCCGCTCCCTGTCTCAGTCCCTCTCCTAGTCCTGCTCGCGCCACGCCCCGGGCCGGGCTCCTCGCTTCTGTCCTGTTTGGTGCCGGAGCGTGCACGCGGGGCGAGGCAGCGGCGGGGCAGGGCGCGCAGGGACCGCTGTGGCGCGCAGCCACAAAGTTTGCGGAGCGCGGTAACGGGCGCGCGCTCGGGCCCGGGCGCTCGGAGCAAGCGGCCGCAGGTGACTGAGCGCTGGCTCGCGGGGGCGCGGCGCGGGGCACAGGTGCGCAGCCCGTGGGCGGCGCTGTGCACGCGGGACGGGCAGACCGGCCGCGAGCGCGAAAGCCGGGTGGCGGCCGGCTGGGGGTGGGGATCGCGGCGGAGAAATGGGGAACAATGCGAGTGAGCAACTTCAGGAAGTCATTGTGAAAGAAAGCTGGGAAGAGCTGGGCAGCCGAGCAAGCCAGGCGCTCTAACAAGTGCCTGCGCGGCCCGCGCCCGGGCAACCGCTGCGGCGAAGGTCCTGGGTCCCCGCGGAGCGCAGCCGAGCCGGGGCAGGACGATTGGCCGCGACAAGGGGGCCCACCGGGCGAACCCGGATCCGAGGTTGCTCTTCGCGCTTGAGGATCAGTCTTGGACCTGCAAAGTGCGACGCACACATCCACGTGAGTGTTTTCAGATTGAATGTCCGTAGAAAAACTTGGATTTGAAAAGAAGGAAAGAAGGAAAAGACGGAGGCGGTCACATTCGTGAGTCCTGGTTTCGCTCGGGTCCACCTCTCCTTTCCGGGGACAGTGGGAGCGCTGACTTTTGTCAAAGCCGTGGCCATTTCGTGCTGTGACCGCAGGTGCAGGGCAGGCCGGCGGTGGGACGCTGTGAGCCGACCCGCTGTCCCCCGGGGGAGGACGTGATCTTGTTTAAGCAGATCCACGCTTTTATAGTGAGATCACGGAAGTCAGCCTTTATAAAGTCATTCATAACGAGCTTTCTTTTCTTATTTTTGACGCGAGAGCTTTTTGCTTATTCTGTAAAATAATTAGGTTGAATCTGAACTTGCTTTCTGCAGATTAGGAATTATTCCGGTTTGAAAAGTTGGTAGTACTTTTGCTGAGTGCAGTTCTGGCTCTCCGGTTAGGAAACCCCTCGGCCAAAAGGTGTCAGGTTACTTGCGACTGTCTGTGAAATACGTTTGAAAAATTAGGATGCTTGGTGATTCCTAAGGAATCTCGAGAAGGTGTGATTTTTTTAAAAATTTTTTCTTCTGATTTGGAGGCACGGGGTGTGACATCTGGAGAAGTGAAAAGGGTTAGGATTCGATTCGCGTGTCTGATCTGGCACTTCCAAGTGCAGCTTTCAAATGCGGTTTCCTTTCTCCCTTGGCTGCAGCCCCCCCGGTGTGAATGTCAAACCTCTGTGCTACCCTCAATTTCCACACTCAGAATTCCCCACCCTGCTCCCCCAGGGGTAGTTCAGGTTAGAGGTACCTTGTTTTAAACTTGGAAAGACACACTGGTGTTGAAGAAATGTCTCCTTACCCATAAGATCAACTTCAGTTGAAAGTTTTTTTTTTTTTAAAGGAAGCTTAAAATATTTAATATGCATAACGTTTAAACTTTCATGGAAATTTAAGTGATTTTAAGACTTGGTTCACTTTGGTTCTGAGTTGAGAGGAGAGTGAAGCATACAGGAAAGGTCCAAGCCTCTTGAGTTCATTGCTTTGTTGGAAGATGTTTATTTGATGAGGTTATTGGGACTCATCTTTTATGTGGGGTTTTAAAAGGAACAATTCAAGTATAATGTATATGTATATTGTATGTGTTGGAATTGTTTCAGTGAGAAACTAGATTATTGTATCCGTGGCTTAAAATTTAAATAGTCATAAATATCTCTGACCAGAAAATGACTTGCCTACATTCAGGATTATACAGAATGTGTTAAAAAAAAAAATAATAATTTGTGTGCACAGATATACATAATGAGGTGGCATTTAAAAATTCTGTACAGTTTGGGTTTGATGTAGTGTATTCAGTTTCAAAACTTCCCATGATCATACATGTTTATATCTTTTTTTACCTGGGAAAAAATGTATTTCCCAGCTTCAAAGTCCCCAGAGCTGAAAACCAAAAGATGTAACTGAGTTAAACGGTCTGGTTTTCTTCCCCTCTCTGCCCTACCTCCCATCCCCATTTTATGGTGATAGTTGAAGGCAGGAGTTTCAGAAACTCCACCGTGCTTCTATAATTCATCAGTATTTTAATTAAAGTGCTGCATCTTTAGAAACGACATATCCTCCAAAATTCAGGAGCATCGTGACAATTACAGCCCATCATCACGGTCTCACGGGAATCGAAGGTCCATGAATCCACGTGTGTGTGTTACATTTGGGTCTTTTGAGAAGTTTTTCTGAAGTCTCCGGAGAGAAGGTAACTGGTGGTTTCCTTGCAGCCATTTCCCTTGCCGAAAATTAAGATCACAGCCAATTTCCTGGCCAAGAGGCCTGCAGCCAGTATGGGTAGGGCCACAGCATCTTTCTCACTGGAGCCTTCGGGTCTGAGGACTGTGGTTCTACGGTTTGAGGAGCTCTTTCCCTCGGCTTGGATGTGTGTATCGTGTTCGGTCAGTGTAGAAGCCTACTGTCAACATAAATGTCAAACTCCGAAAGTTTAAGAGAACCTGATGTATGTATACGCTGTCTACTACATGTCATTGCTAAGAAACGCTGCCACGCCACCCATACACGTGTTGTGTGTATCCTTCACGGTTACGTGTGTATTAATAGATACAGGAAATAAAGACATTATGTGATAGTATGTACACAGACACACAGCGTGCACACAGCATGGGGAGACACAGGGCTGGGGAAAGGGTTTTAACAATCAAACCCACCTGACCGAAGTGACAAAAGACCCTCCTTTTTGGCTTGGTTGGTTTGTTGGTTTGATTTTTACCTTTTACTAAAACAGAACAGATTTTCCTCCTTGGAATGGTGAGTGTAAGCATAAATGATGCTAGTTCTTTGGGTGTCTGCCTAACATTCTTGCAGTTAACCCAGAACTGGTCAAGGGCAGCAGCATTCAGAGGTGTTTTTGATTCCTTTTCCCCCCTCTGATCTTTGTAATTGTGAAATAATTTCACTACAAGGTAACTCTTGGTTTTGTTTTCTCAGGGAGCAGCTGTTTGGGTTAACTGGCTGCCTTTGCTATTTCTTTTTAAAAATACTATTTTTTAAATTTTATTGAAATATAGTTGATTTATAAGGCTGTGTTAATTTCTGCTATTTCTACTTGCGTTTTCGGGTGCTTGTGTACTGTGTGAGTCTTGCCTGTGGCTGTGAGATGCTGCCCCTCCCGCCCTGACGGTTACCGGTCGTCCCTGCCTGGTGTCGGTCTATTTGTGTCTGAAGAACCCTCAGGCGTGTGTGTAGCATAGTTCATCTCATGGGAGAAAACACAAGATGTAAAAGCGACAAGTGACCCATCCTTTGTGGCTGACAAAGGGAGAACCGTTGATCAGGTCAACACCTTGAGGCCAATCATTTTGGTTTTGCTTAGAAAAGGCACATGTACACACATGTGATCCAGACCTTGGGCAGATTGTGTTTCAGAGCATAGGCCTTACACACACACACTTAAAATCCAGATAAGGAATGAGACAGGAATGGAGTTCATCAGGGACGTGGGCCGCCCCAAACCAGACTCAAGCAACCGCAACCGAGCTGATTTTACTGTGGGTTGGACCAGATGCCCACACTGTTTTTTGTTTTTTTTTCCCATAGAAACCTAGGCATGTTGTTGTTCTTGCAGTTTAATAAATGACTCCACACCATAGGTTATCTTTCTGCAGCTCCTTCCATTTATAGTGTTGTTGCTTTAATAGCTTGTGTTTGACACTGTTTTGAAACATTTGATGATATACTAACAAATATTTGTAAGACATTATGAAACATTTAAAAGTAAAATGCTGCATTATTACAAGTGAAACAGAGCAAACAAAAAGAGCTTTGCAGAGCGCCCTAGAGTGGAGAGGTGGGCAGGGCCCACCCTGTTTTGGTTCGTCCTGGGTGAGTGGTGTGTAGGCGGCTCACTGCTGAGGAGGGCCTGGTGGGGAGGCAGCCCAGCCTTCTCTGCAGCAAATGGCCTCACCCCTTCCTTCCAGCCTTTTTTCCTTCTCCTGTTTTGCTGTGATGAACAGGTGTGTGGATGCTTTGGGTGCCTCTCATGACCTGCCTGGGGACGAACCATGAAAAATGGCAAAAACTCCAAGTCCCAGACCTGGGGGCCTCTTGCCTTCCTGCCATGTCCATGCCTGTCCATGTCTCTCTTCTCCTGGGCTACGTGTCTCTGCCTTTGGGGAGCCCATCATGCCTGGTGACTCAAAGAGGTCCCTCTCCCACCTACCTCAAGCCCGCCAAGTCAGACGTCCTAATAATCTCTGAACCCATTTTGGTCGGGACAGGAAGCACGGGCTCCCTTCCTGCCCATGTTTTCCTGAGAGAAAACCATCTTCCCTCCTTTTTTGCATATTTGGCAAATGGGTCCACCTTCCTCTCCGCCCCAGTGGAAGGCGAGGAGGGTGGTGGCGAAGGAGGTGGCAGGGTCCCTTCCAGGTGGCTGAGTCCAGGGGGCTCCGAAGGCCCCAGGCCTCCAAGGTAGGATTGGGGGTGAGGCCCGCCCCTCGGGTCTCTGGGGGGCACAGGCTTCTGGGTGAGGTCACTGGTTTCTTTGCTGCTTTCCGCAGATGGGTACTTCAGGAGTGCACTCCCCTCCCTCCCCGGGGTAGCCTGTGCCCCCAGCCCTGCCGGCTTCCCGCTGACTGTCTTGGGTGATGGAGAGTCTCATTACCTTCCATGTGCTCTCTCTGCTTTCGGGGTCCCCTGCTCCACCTCCTGATGGCTCATGGAGCAGGGCCACGGCTTAACGAATTGCTGAAAATGGGTCCTAATTAGTGGGAAAGCGCCTCCTTCATCTTTTCTCATTCAAGTGTGCAGTGGTTCGTTTTTCTTCAGCAATCAAGTCACTGCTGAAGGAAATCTGACTGTCTTCCTGCCATGTTCGCGCCAAAAGTTAGCTCCGCTCGACATGCAGTTGGTGCGGGTCTTCTGGGGCGTGTGGAGGGCGGGTGCAGTGTGTGGGGGTCCCAGCCTTGTTCCTTAGTCTCTTGCTTTCCCTCTCTCCCTCCTTCCTCTGTGCCTCTGTCGCAGTCTGTCATGTGTGGTGTTTGCAGAAACAACTATGAACTACATAAAGAATTTGTAAACAACCTTACACATGCTGAAATAGACTTCTAGCCTCCGTTATTGAGCTCACATGCTAAAATGACACTCTGAAGCTTTTTTGGGTAGTTTGAAGCTGGCTAAAACTGAACAGGATGGTTTGGTTTAGAGCCCTCTTTTAAAGCTAGGAGTTCTAGGGTGAATACATATTCATCGGTTTTTGGTAAATTTTCATTGTTACATCAGATTTTCACTGGCTCACTTGGAGCAAATGAATAGCATGTAAGATACCTCTTTAGTCCGAATGGAGAAAATGTTTAATGTAGAATCTTTAGGAGAAATGAAAATGAGGGATTGATCTTTTATAAACTGACTTTGGAAGCACTCTGATGAACTCCAGTGCTTTAATGGAAACTGGAAAGAGCCAGCGACCCCCTGGCGCGAGCCCCACTC